CTGGGCAGCCTCTGCTGGGCCGGTCCCTCTAGATCAACCTAGTGAAGGCTTCACTGCTAGGGTGCATTGCCAGGTCCTGGGACCTGGTTTGGGCTAGCCTACTGGGTCTTAGTCTGCAGTGTCACCAGCCCAAGCACTCCCCACCAATCCCACTTGAGAGGGGAATATGAGACTAAAGTCACTGCAGCACTCTGTTCCGACTAGTCTGCCCTGTCCCACAGTGTCCTCTGTTGAAGCCTCCTAGTCTATGAAAGGGTCCCTGATTCTCTCACTCACCACAGGTCAATGCAGGGCTCCCTGCTAGTCCCGCACTCAACTCCATTTGGTTCGTAGTCCCGCTCTCAACTCCATTTGGTTCTTCGTTCCCTCTCTCAGCGCTTTCGTGCATCTCTCTCCCTGCTGGCTGATTGGGATGCTGCAGCAGTGGCATGAAATTCAAATTGTGGCTTCTAGTGGTGCAGATTCCAGCTTCTGTGCTGAGATTTTATCTGTTCCTGTTATAGCATCAGGATTGCATTTCCAGTTGGCTTCTCTCAGCTTAGTTCGTTCCTGGGTCGGCAATGTGTATCTCCATTCACTTAGGACTCCTCACACTGCACCACTCCTAGATTCTAAGCTGGTAATCTCAGAGAGCCTCTGTGGGTGCTGTTATTTGTCCACCATGTTCTCCCGGAAGTCCTTAGTGTTTATTTTTTGGGGAAGATTTCTGTATTTTTGCTACCCTTTTTTCTGTTTTGTGTTTTTTTCTCTTTAAATAAAATTTTTAAAAGAAGCACGTGAAAGCAAAGGAGACAATGTAGGTCAAAAAGTAGCTATGTAACATCAATAGAGATACAATGTATATTGTAGGAACTACAGTTATTAATATTGTATACTGCAGTATGCTTTTGTATTGTAATATTCTATTGTATAATGCAGTGCAATTTAAATAATTATACTACACAAAAAGCTAAATATGTGAGATGATGGATAGTTTACTTGATTTTGGAGAGTTTACTTGATTGTAATAATCATGTAAATTCATATATCAAAACATAGCAGTGTAAGTTCTGCTATAAAATATTTTCAAAAATACGTATATAAAAATAAAGTGGTAAATACACAAGAAATACTAGAAAACAATCCTGGAAAAAATTATAGACAATGTATATAAAGAAGTAGGAGATCATCTACGGAATCAATGCAATCTCAAAGCACTAGCAGAGTTTTTGCTTGTTTTTTGGTAGAACTTGGCAAGATGATTTTTACATTTATATAGAAAAATAAATTAGCTTTAAAAAGTCGTGAATGTTTTTTAAAAGAATAATATTGGAAAACATGGACTATCTGATTTCAAGACTTGCTATTGAACTGTATTAATCAAGACAGTGTTATGTTTTTATAAGGATAGTTATATAGATCACTAGAAGAGTAGTATCTATAAAAATAAATGCACACAGGTCAATTGATTGTTGGCAAAGGAATCTATTTAATTCAATGGAGGGGGCAGGGAGCTTTTTTTCCACAAATAATGCTGGAAAACTAAATATTCATATGGAAATAAAACAGTTTTGACCCTTATTCTGTACCACATAAAAATTAACATGAAAGGAATCAAAGGTCTAAATAACATAAAATAAAATGATACAATTTGTATAAGAAAACACAGGAAGAATTTACTGTCCCCTCAAGTTAGGTAAAGATTTCTAAATAATTCAAAATCACAAACCATTAAAAAGTGGCTACTGGGAGCAGTTTCTTCCCCTTTAATTTTCACAGTACCTATTATACATCTTGAACCTTATTTACTCTTTCAGTTTTTTACACTAGGGGGACAATACAATGTTTACACGTGGGAAAAGGAGAAAATAGGGGAAAGATTTATATCTATCTATATATAGATATAGATATAAATACAGATACATACATATTTATAATTATACCACTAATCTCAGTTCATCAAAAACAACAGTTTGTGCTTACATTGTCTGATCATTTTTTCATGCCTATATCTTGTAATTTGAACAACTACTTTGAAGATAACAATACACAATATATTAACCGTTATTGATCACCTATATTTTTCTTTGAAATTCTGCATCACTGTTTTTATTTTTGTTTTAAAATAAAAAGTGACTACATTGGATTTGAACAAAATTAAAAGCTTATGTTTTTCAGCGATAATGTTAAGAGAATGCAATACTCATTTATAGATTGATATAAAATCTTTACAAATAACATGTTTGACAAAAGACTTGTGAAAAGAATATACAAAGAACTCTTAAAATTAAGCAATAAGAAAACAAAAACTCATTTAAAAATTGGCAAAACATTAACATATGTCTCACTGAAGATTTTATGCTGTCAGTAAATATACTCAAGGATAATTGTTCATCATTACTTATTAGGGAATGCAAATAAAAAGCAATATACTGGCAAGAAAACTAAGGTAAAAATACTGATATTACAGCTAATAAACATATAGAGTAATTTAAACCTCTATTATATTGTTAGGAAAAATGCAAAATGTTATATCAAGTTTCGAAAACAGTCTCTCATTATCATATTAAGAGATTAAAGCAAAATTCATATGATCATTTCAATAGATCAGAAATTTCTTTTGTCCTCCAGGGAGATTTTTGGTTGTCACAATTGCAGGGGGGGGGAGTGGGGGGAGGGGGAGTGCCATCGGCATTAAGGAGCAGAGATCAGAAACACTGTTAAACACTTTACAATGCTCAGGACAGCCCTGCATTGAGAGCTATTTTCTAGATTCTACTTTTCTCAATCAACAGTATATGATATTTGTATGTTGCTGTAAGGTACATACATTTTGTTTGCTGTTTACTGCTATATAACAGCACATAATAAATGCTCCCATGTGGGGTCATTCGATCTCCCTGGTGATAAATTCCTAAGTTGCTTCTAACTGTATTATTTACTACACATAAGACTACAATGCAGTCAACAGTCCTGTACATGTTTATACTGGACCTCTGTGAAAATTTCTGTACAATGTAATTTTAGGAATGGAGCCACACAATTATACACATTTAATTTTTATAAATAATACCCAGGTAGTTTTTAGAATGGCTAAATCAGTTAACATATAGTATGCTGTCCAAGAGAGTTCTATCAAAACTGAGAATGCTAGCTTTAGAAAGGTCTGCTTGAAAGATTTGCCCTTGATTGGCATCTTGGACTAGTTTGCTCTGACTAGTTTATCTGTACACACAATGTGGTTTATGTTGAATACTGCTTTTCTTCTGAGAGTGTGGAATTTTGATATATGCTAGGCAGCAAATGCCTAGGAGACCATCATCCCCCAAAATACCTTGATCACAGAGCCTTTACTGAGTTTCCATGGCAGAAAACATTTTATACATTGTCATAACTCATTACTATGGAAATTAAAGGCATTTTGTATAACTCCACTAGAGGACTCCTAGAATTTTATCCCTGTTTTTCTCTTGCCACATATATCTATTCCTTTTGTTAATTTTTCTTTCGAGTCTTGTTTTAGTTAATTTTCTTACTGATAAGACAAAATATCCAACACTCACAAATTAAAGGAATAAAGATTTATTTCAGCTCACAGTGTAGAAGTTTCAGTCAATAATCTGTTGGCTCCAAGGCAAGGTGGCATGACAGAGGCATATCACAGTAGAAAAATAGTTCAAAGCAGAGCAGAGCAGGCAGAAAGCATCAGTGAAGCGGCAACAGCAGCAATAACAACAGCAGAAGCACAAGCACAAGCAGCAAAAGTAGCAGCTGCACAAACAGCAGCAGCGGGGCTGGGGATTTAGCTCAGCGGCATAAGTACCTGCCTTGCAAGCAGGTGGTCGTGAGTTTGATCCCTGGTACCGATAAAAACGAAAAAGACAAAAAAAAAAAAAAAAAAAGAAGCAGCAGCAGCAGCCTGCCTTCTATGTTTCTCTTTATATCCCATTCAGGCTGCAAAAGTCTATTGATGTGGTGCTACCTATACCCAGAGTGGGGCTTTTAGTATCCATACATTTAATATCAGTAATACATCCATAATCAATCCACATTCACACACCCTTCGAAACTCCCTACCTATGACTGCATGAGGCTTTAAATGGACACTTAGATACAAACCATAATATGTCTTTTCACTATATGATACTAAATGGTGACAATAATCTAGCAGCTTACTGAACATAAGAGTGATCTTAGGGATTCCTGTGACACACATTTGCATAAACAAAGTAAGAAAATTTCAAAAAGATTTATTTGTAATTGCACACTTTGAGTATTACTTCAATATTTATCATGTGCTTATATTACATCTTTGAAAATACTTTAAAAATGGGGAGTAGGATTGTCAAAAAAAACAAACAAACAAACAAACAACTAGATGGTGTCCTGTGAATGAGACTCAAGCTATGTTTCAGAACCATGGAGATCATTCACTGAAATTTCTTCATATTCTATATGAGAAAATTAAAGTCAAAAAAGGTAACAGACTCATTCAAAGATATCCATATAGTCATCATAGACACAGGTCTTGAATCCACACTGTTCTGTTTCCTTCCTCTAAGTCTCCAGCCCATTTTCTTATATTAGTCACTTTATTTACCTTAGGGCTATTCTCTCAATGCCTTTCAGGAGCCTACTTTCTTGTTAACTATGGTTACTCTGATTTCTCAAATTTCCCTAAGCAGTGTATATGTTGCATTCCTCTCAAAACAGTAGGTCGCATGAAATTGGAACCCAACAGAAAAAGAATAGAGGAGTTAAAATAAAATCCTACTGATAACTATCTAGAAGCATAGGGAAAGGGGAGTGAAACAGTAAAGAGAGAGAATCCTAAGCCTAACCATAGCACCTTACTAAGTCCTCATAATTTATTAAAGACTAAATGTCAAAATCAGGGCCAGAGAGAAACTCATTGTCCACTGCAGAACAAAGTATCTTAATATAAACTAGACATGTCACATGTTCCTTCTTTTTCTTCCTAGTGTTTCTCAAAAACCTCCCCAAAGAGATATGATGCTTACATGTTCTAGGAAGCAGGGTCCTATTTCACTCAGGTGAGGATCATCATTGTTGTACTGTTTCTCCAGGTCTCTCACGAAGCCCATCTGAAACCTGTAGATGTCTTCAATGTTCCCAAATATTACCTTCAGTTGCTCATCACTGAACATGTCCCTTCTCTTCCGGCACTGCTTCAGGTACCCCTGCAGGCAAAGGAAAAGTCTAGAATGAAGATGACTCCCACTATCGAGGGGCTTTACTGCTACCATTTAGGCGACTGATTTTAGTACCACAAAGTAGGCAGGAAATAATCATTTTCACTTGTCCTGTGAGGGAACTGAAGTCTAGGGAAGAAAGTCACTGCACTAGTAAATGTTTAGAAAGGCTCAATCTCCAGTAGAACTCTTGAGAATATAAAGACTCCACAGATATGGACACAGTGGGACATACTGGTATTACCAGCACTCTGGGAGACTGAGATGCAAGGATCACAAGTTGAAGCCCAGCATGGGCAATTTAACATGATCTTGTCTCAAAAAAAAAAAAAAAAAAAAAAAAAAAAAAAGGCTCGGTATGTAGCTCAGTGAAAAAGCTCTAGGTTCAATTCTCAGTAATGATAACACACACACACACACACACACACACACACACTTCCACAGTATAGGCCTTTCCCCACTATTCCTTATTATTAAAACCAGGACCTCAAAAATCAAGAGTGGAATATTCTGTGGAATATTCCACAGAAGTAGCTTGGGCAAAAGTAATAAGAACTGTGGGAGTAATAAAACCCAAAATGTGGAGTTGTCATTGTACAAAAGAGAGGAAAAGAAAGTGCTCTAAAGGATATAACTGCATGTATATTTAAGTGTATAAGATGGATAACCATATTGCTGAGTTTTGTTGGATCGTTGAACAGAACAGTTTGTAATTTCACTGTTTGTCCACTTTATGTGCTTTAATTTTGTAATGTGAACAACTATTTCTAAGATGACAAATATGTAATCTATCGACTAGTGATTTCCTACTGTTTATTTTTTCTGAAATTATGTATAATTTGTACCTTTTTCTGTTTTTTTTTTCTTTTGATCCTTAAATAAAATGAAAAAAAGAAAAAGAAGTAGCTTGGGCACAAACATTTTCATTACAATATATATTAGTTTAGTTGGCTGCATCTTTTCACCTTTTGGAACTTCTAACCTTATAAAATAAGTCCCAAAGTCTAAATGGTGACAATAATCTGGCAACCACAATCAGGACAGAAAAACTTCCAATAAGAAAATGTGAACTGACATCTATTTCTGTCTCAGCAATCTAAAGTATGTGGCCCGAAGAGATCATTTGGATGAGCTCAGCCAGAAAGTCCATGGATACTTGGGTATGGTATTTCTAAAATTGTTTAGGACACATTTGTGAATAAAGGGATGAATTAATACAGATTAGTCACAGATAACAGGAGAAAAGTGTAATCAAAGAAGTTCTTGATCTGATAAGATGGCACTGAAGTAACGTAAACAGACTTAGGGTACATTGCAAATCTTGGTTGGAAAAAATTCATAACTAAAATTGGGTCATTCATTTTGAACCTATTGGTGTGGATTTCTTAAACTGGTGATTACTGTCCTCATTTGCAATCATTAATACATAGAATTTTTCTTAGTGAGAATAAATTATGGTTACTTGCTTTCTTTTAAAAGTCAGGTTCAAGCTTCTTAATATGCTTTTTCAGTGCTCAAGAATCCTATAGTAGTTAGTTTATCATATGGGGCCTTGTCTGTAACCTCACTTTTTCTCCCCTAACATAGTGGTCAATGAGACTGCTGAGGCATATATCAGAATTATTATCATCCCTGGCTTTAATTCTTTTTTACCAACTTTGACCAAAATCTCAATTCCCTCACCTTCTCACTTCTGAATTAGGTCATTACTAAGTAGGTGACCTTGGAAAGTTTGCAAATAAATAGTCCAGGGCTGTTTTGACAACTGAAAGATTTTGTCCTAGAATAAATCACAGGATATTATGGCAGTAGTTCAACATGGTAGAAAGCCAAATCAGGGATACTTATCCTGATGGCCACTTCCTCCTTCCTCCTCGCTTACAACTTCCTCCTTCCATTCCAAATGCACAGAAAGAAAATTCCAATCAGTTCCTTGTGTCTCATCAATGCCTGCACAAGCACCACATCTGGTCAAAGGTCACATATACCCCACACCCTCATATCCTATCAGAGGAGAAAGCCAAACCCTTGCTGATTTGGGCTCCTCTCTATGTTCTTTAAATAAAAAGGTCACTTTTACTTTTTCTTGTATTCTGCTTCTTTATAGCACCAGAAAACTCTAACAACTATTTAAATAATGGCTACTGCCCTCAGGTGACTAACATATTCAAGGATCCTTGTATGTTTCATATCTAATTTCTGACTAGAAAGAAGATGCCTTCCAACTCCCATAATAAATTTTTGGCTTCTCTCTCTTCACTGTAAGTCTCTCCTAAAATTCTGTTTCTCTAGAAAGCCTTCTTTCATGTCAGCTCCTTCCTTATCTAACATATAAATGTCAGTTTAATCTGTTTCAGTTAGTGTATTCCTGTGTGTCTGCCTGTGTCCCTTTCTCATTCTACTCTCTCAGAAAGTATCTTATCTACAAACTAGCAGGGAGAACAGTGAGCATAGCATCACAACATTAAGCAGGGAGACAGAGGCTTCCTCACTCTTGCTCTTAGTTTTCTCCCCAAAGTAGGCCCGAGAGTACAGCTGGAAGGCAAAACGGAAATAATGTTACACTTCTGGGTAAGTAGTAACTGAGAAACAGAAAAGTACAGTCTAGACAGCTCATTCATTCCCTATGAAATCAGTTCAGAATAGATTTAATAGTTTTATCTCTTCATCCATTTGAAAGATTTTGGGAAGCAACCAAATATCATAAATCCCTCAAATGCAGCAAAGACACTACAGTTAAACATCAGTATGGAATGTAACAAAAATTTAAATGGAGAAAATGGTCTCTGGAAAAAAGAATAAAGTAACAAGCCAGTAGAAGTTGTAATTTCCTAAATAAATCATTTATTCCATTACCAAGAACATTATTTTCTTTCTATGAAATTATGCATGTTGTGTATAAGCTACATATTAGAAAGACTATGACCGTTCAAAGGACGATGAGACTCTAGAGCTATAATAGTAAACCTTTTAGAGCCTGAGTGCTCAAGTTGCAATATAAAACTCAATTATTTATCACAAAGCACCAAAAATGCAATTAAACCTGAATATTCGTGACTTGACTACTGGGGCGATATAGCTTATGTGAGGACAGAGAGCGCTCCACATGGCCACGACAGTACATGTGTCATAGGTTCACCACCACTGCCCTAGAATGTTTTATCAATAATTATTCTTTAAAGCTAATATTAGAGCTTGGCGTGGTAGCACACACCTGTAATCCCAGCATTTGGGCAGCTGAGGCAAGGAAATTGTTATAAGTTTGAGACCAGTCTGGGCTACAAAGTGAGCTCAAGGCTAGCCTGAACTGCATAGTGAGACCCTATCTCAAAAAGACAAAAAAAAAACCCTAATATTAGATTATAAATATGTTCTGGTACATTTAACTTGATTGAATAGTACATAGTTATTCAAATGGTTAGGAAACATGTATAGAAATATTGAAGGGTGTTTATGATAGAATATTAAAAATCACAACATAAATGATATATTACCATGATTACAACTCTTAAAATATAAACATATGTACTTAAAACCAGATTTGAAGGAATTATAATAATGGAAAAGCACAAATAACTTTATTGTATTTGATGGATTCTAATTGATTTTGTTACTATTTTTAAACTTTCTCTAAGCCCATTTTTAATTGTGTTCATGAATAAAATGAGACAAATTATTTGTCAGAGAGTATAAAAAAAAGAAAAGAAAGCCACTAGAAGGCTTCCTTGAGTACAATATTATCAGTAAAGAGAAGAATACAATGTTTTCTTAAAATCTCCTCCAGTCCTACTACTTAGGACAATATTAGCTTGATGAAAGCATTGCAAAGAATTTTTAGCATTTGGCTTTATTAAAGAAGTAAGACATGAGACATAAGAAAGAATGTGGAAGTAGAATATGAAAACCCAAAATTTTAACCTTAATTCCTATACCACACAAATGTCTAAAGTTCTTTCTGGGAGAAGACCAAAAGGTATGAATATTTGCTGGAGTCTTGCTTTCATTTTTTTGTATCCCTCTCCCTTTTTTCATATGGACCGATGATTATCTACTTTTCCATAGCAGAGATCAATACATGTTTGGCTTAGAAGCCAGTTATGTCTTCTTATTCACTTAGTTTTGAAGTACATTAAGTTTAAGATGAGTTAGCCATAAAAGGTGACTGATTACCCAAAAACCTAATGTCATTTTAAATTAGGAAAAAAGTAGATTAAGGTACAGAAGAAAAGCCAAATTGCTAATAAGTTTGAAAACTTAGGCTTAAACATATCAAGTAAAAATGAATTGAAGCTACAGAATGATGAAGTTATAGCATGAAGAATTCATGAAGAATTTCTTTATGGTTAAGAATATAAGACATTAACACAAATAACTGAGGAAAGGTAGATCATTTTCTCTGGAGGTATTTGAGGACAATATTTATTCTATAGGTATGGGGTAGCTGAGCTTATCTTCCCTAAAAGAAACAAGTCAGCTTTATAAGATATATTTAGTTCTGTGTGCCCCATGCATCAGTTTCCCTGATTTTAAAATGAGTTACAAGAAGTTACAAGAAGCAATATCACCAATCATTGGTCACAGTGATCTGGAACTAAACAGTTTATTTTATACAGAGTTAAACTGAGTAGTACTGTATACTACTATCTAGATTTAGAAAGAATGCGGTCTTCTGAAGAGAATTCATTTAAAAAGGCATTTCTTACTGATCTCAGTGAAAGGCTTGTTAAAAGTCAGTTGATTTCCCACTTCCATTGTAAAATGAGAGTGTTATGTTTTAAACATTTGTAAAGCACTTCTACTCCTAGGAGTAAAAAGAAATGATACTTTCTAAGAGACAGTATGACCTTTTTTCAGCTGAATATAGTGTCTCCCATTTCCTCCTCAATAAATATGAGTGAAACATATTTAGAGCTCTCAATTAACTTACAGGAAAAATAGATTGCATGTGGTGTCATATTAACACATTCATACTTGACTAGAACATGCTTCCAAAGTTACCAAGGAGAGAGACAGAAAATGCAGAAGAAATCCATGTCACTTCTACAATTCTCTAGTTCACCATATTTACATCTTAAAGAAATAGAGAAAGTCAGATCCAGAAATCACTTAAAGAAATACTCTAGTCCACTCATTTTAGAGGTAGGTAGAAAGTTAAGGTAGAAGAGATTTTGCTACGGTTTCCTGGCCATTGAGTGACCCAGAAGGAACCCAAATTCTGGATTTCCAACTCTTAGTTTGGTATTCTTTGTAGTAAATAATTTTTTTCTCCACAGATTTTGGCTTAACACATACCTGCTGGCTTCAATCACTGGTAGTACAAATGGATCTAATCACTTTGATTAGCCTTTTTCATAATAAAATTAATTTTAAAAGTCTATAAAGGGACTGAATATAGTTAGTTGCTTGAATTTGAGTAATTACTATCCACATATAAATATTAATAAATAGTATTCATACTAATTAAAATTATTATAATAATCAACATTTCAAAAATTAAAATAAATTTATTTATATTCATGGTTTATCAATAATTAATTCTCTAAACTTTAAATGGAAATCTTACAAGTATTCCATTGCCGGTATATATAATATGCATTTACAACTGCTGTACAATAAATTAGCTGTATTAAAATTTTTAAACATTTTTATACATGTTTTCTTTAAGCAACTGTAATATGATGACATCTGGATTGCTAAATCAATGCCTTTCTTTGCATTACTGTAAGCAAAGACCCCCCTGGTACAAGCTGCCCAGTGGGACAGTCATACATGTACCACTAGTGGTTTAAGTGAGTGGGAGTAATCCAATTCAAATCAGAGAAGCCTGACAGTGAGACATACTACTTATAGCCTCATCATGAACATGTTAATGGTGATACAACCCAGGGCTGAAGACTGTCCCTGGTCTAACTAGATACAGCTTTATTTAACCACCTTTGATATTTGTGGTTACAAAATTGGACAAAGAAATAATTTCTAACAATCTTCAGTTAAAAGCTCTGTTTATGTTGGTTAGATTGAACAATCTGCAAAGCATAGTTGTTATTTATATCCTGATGTCCCTGTTAGCTTAAACCATCCCTCCTCTAGTAGCTTAACTTCTAGGTTTAAAGTCAGCTAACTTCTTCATTGCATCTCCCAGTCCAAGCTCTGCACCCTATCCCAGGATTAAAGACTGCTGCCCTGCCTCTCAAGGGGGGACTGAAGTCTCTATTTTTTTTTTGTCTTTTTTTTTTTTTATCGGCACCAGGGATCGAATTCATGACCGCCTGCTTGCAAAGCAGGTGCTTATGCCACTGAGTTAAATCCCCAGACCCTCTATTTTAGATCTTTAACATGCTCATGACTTGCTAATAAATCTTTCTGCCTCCATCTGTTGTCTCCTGAATTTAATAAATCTAACATTTGGTGCAGAAACCCAGAAGGCCTTTGTGAAGGGACCAATTAATAAGGTCACCTTTACTGTTGCTGTCTTTCATATAACACCAACGGTGCTCTCTGATCCAGAAAGTCATTTCCTCAGAGTTGGGTGAATCTCTAGGTCTCCTTCACAGGAACTTTCCATTTTCTTCTGTCTATCCAAAAATCCAAGCACTAGGTTTTAGTCTTTTCTGGCCTGTGAAACAGGCCTCTCAGGAGGCATGGAATTGGTCTTCTGCTGGTGACCATCTTTGCCAAGAAAGTACTCAGAGATATGGGATGCATATCTCTGTTAATTTCTCTTCCTTTTACCAAGAGATCCTATTCACTTCTCTATGGACATTTTGAATCTGGCTTTCTAGCCACCCAAAGACTCACCTTTTTTCTGTCTACTTAAAAACCTGAAAACCCTCTATCTGGGAGAGGAAGACATCAAATAAAATAATTTCTTTTCTTCTGTAACATAGTTTAACAGATAATAAGTAACCTAAACACAGTATCTTCAACTTCCAAATTCTTCAAGACTTAAAAGGATATACCCACTGCAATGCCAAGCGGTCCAAAGCTCCTTATATGCAGGCTTTTAAAAACCTTTTCAATCAACTTTCTGCCAGTCTTGTACTACTTTCAAATTTCTTCTTCACTACAACCTAGACTTGACTCTAGTTCTGTCCTTGAACCTGAATTCAATCTGCTGACTTCACATTCCCACTCCCATGTGTCCCTCAAAACTTACCTTCTTCTTTTTCACCTCCACTATCAGAGAACTCCTCCCATTAACTATCCCCTCTCTCCATCCTTTTTTTTTCTTATCCTGATATCAGCTCTTATGCTCATCAACTCTCTCCTAAACTGGAACCTCAGCTGGCCTCAACCTCCAAGTATGTCAATAGGTCTAGGGAGGATGAGGCATTTGAAAAGAAACTTTCAGCTATTTTTGCTTTTACTCTCATTTGTTTGGTTAGGCCTAAGACCTCTTCCTTTTAAACCTATTTGTTGATGAAATGTGGTTGAAAGGGCCTATGACACTAGCTCCAAATCATCAGTTACTTCCCTTCTAACATGGGATCAGATAAAACTAACAACTGCAACAGCGTCTTGGCAATGAGGGACAATAATGAACAATAGTTATCAAGACTGTCTTCAGGACCAGATGAGATTTTTTTTTAAAAATATAAAAACTGTCAAAATAGACTTTGATATACATTCAATTTTGTGAATTACTGGCTTGATAGAATCTGTTCTTTGCAGTAATGGATGAAATTAGACCCTGCCATGAGCAACTAGATCAGAAATGAGATGCCTTCAATCAGAAGCCCTTGCAAATAGATCTTGCTCTAATGTGGTTTGCCGGCCCTGAGCATGGGTCTCATTCTCTCTGGATCTCTAGTGACCCATCTGTGAAATGGAAGGTGTGAGTTGTGATTAATTCATTTCTGAGAGGCTTCTTAATTAAGAGGAAAAGAGCAGACATTTAGGAGAAAGTGAAAAGAAGCAGGGAGAACAAATGGGTACAAGAAAAGGAAGAAGAGTGAGAAGGAGGAGGAATGAGAGAAAGAGAAGGATAGTAAATGAATATTAATGAATAAGAAAGTTACAGAAAATGAGAGAAATATAGAAATTGAGAGCCCCAAGGAAATGGTTTCACTCCACTGAATAGAATCTAGGTGGTAGTCCAGTTGATGTTTTCAATATCTTGGGACTCTCAAAGGCAGGACCATCACAGCTACTGGTTTTTCATAGAAGTGTCCTCTATCACACTCTATATGCCCTTATATGCACCAAGATGTCTACCTCACAAATGTCCTTGAGGTGCTTGATGTAGTGACGCTCAGTGCTCATGATCTCATTGATGACATTGGCCCGCATCTGGTCCCGGTTCTGGAGTGGTCGGCCCAGGCACAGGCAGTCTGAGTTGGGGTCCAGATGCCCATTCTGCACATCACTGGGCCCTTCCTCTACCCCATCCTCTTGGTTCACCCAGAGCTGTGGAAATAAGAAGAAAAAAGAATAACAGGTTAATCGCCTTCTTGATGAGTTTAAAGTCAAATAATAAAAGAATAAATTAAAACATTGGGTACGCAAAAAGTCTTCAACCAGAAGACCTTGCAAACAGAATATCAGACCTTGCTCTACTGTGACTTGCTGGCCTTACGTATGGATCTAATCCTCTCTAGGTCCCTGACAACCTATCTGTGAAATGGAAGATGTAAGGCATGACTAATTTCATTTCTGAGAGGCTTCTTGGCTAAGAACATCTCTAAAGACAGGAAAGTGATTGCAAGCAAAACATGTTCATAATGAGACATATCTACAAAGCACTGCTTACATCGAGAAAAGAAAAATTTAAAATAAATATCTAAGTATGACAGCTACACTATTGTCAAAACATTGCATTTTAGTACCTACAATTTGAATACCAAAGTTGAATGGGTATCTCAGAAGGAAGACTTTTAGTGTGGATTTCCACCACTGAATGTATAAATAATAATCAAAATTTGACTGTAAAATTCTTTGGGCATGCAAATATCTTTATATCTTTATATTCTCAAAATTTGAATGAGGATATCAGAATAATATTCCACCACATAATAAAAATGACACAGGTCAGCCTAGCAGGTTATCTTCACTTGCTGGCATCTATAATGGCATATCAACCCTGCCCAACAACCTGTGCAGGCTATGTACCTTTTCACCAGTGTTATTGATTGACACTGCAATTAGCATATAGTTTCCTGGTGATGAATATGATAAACAATGCCCAGAACTTGCCTGGTTGTAAAGCTTTTCTAGAAGCCCTCTTGTGGTACTTAAAGATTGGTTTAACCAGTCTTCATGGAACTCTGAAGGAAGATGGATTAAAGGGATCAATTTAACAAATATCTACATTAGACCTATTCTAGACCTACCTGCTAACTACATACTAACTGTGACAGAGACATGGGTGAGCAAGACAATTCACTCCCCTCTCCCTTCTTTCCAAACCAAGGAATGCTTTCTAAGTAAGAGATAATCCCTGGTCCTTATCTCTCCCTTTTACATTCTTCTATCACTTCTCTCATCTTTTCATATCCAGACAAGTCCCTGGGTAACCCCTCAGCTTCAATGTCTCCACATGCCACCAACAAACTAATTTCCTTGAGTGTCACTTTGATTGGCTACTCTCATATCACAGAATTCTTAATAACTTCCCATTAATTATACAGCAAGTCGAAGTTTCCACTTTTCTTCCTATTACTCCCTTCAGGAAAACTGAACTCCTCACAAATTAATCTTTCTTTCCAAAAATATCCCCACTTATATCATTTAATTCTATGCTGGGACATCGAAATTATATAGTCCAGAGTTCATTTTCAACTACTTCCGCAATAACAAAGCAATTTATCAAATTCCGGATTAAGAAACTGATATTCACAAAGACTGCAAGGAGTCAGCAACTGCTCACATCTTTGATGTGTCTATTTGTGTCATCTACTATCTTTACTGTTTCTAAAATTATACAGTTGTTACAAAGACATATTTTCCTTGTAGCAAGTTAAAATAGAAAAAAAGTCTTAAAATTATTAATATCAAAGATGAGAGAGGAAACCATTGCCAATTTTACAGAAAAAATGATTAAAGGGAATACTATGAACAATTATGTTAAGAAATTAAGACAAAATTATGAAAGTGGACAAATTCTTAGAAACTTATTCCAGAAAAAATGGAAAATCTAAGCAGGGCAGTAACAAGTCAAGACACTAAATCAATAATGAAAAATTCCCCACACAAAGAGAAATAAACAGGGTCAGATGGTGAATTTACCAAACCTTTAAAGAAAGAATTAACACATCTTTTCAAACCTCCCCCAAGGAAACAGAAACTCAGAACGCCTCATTGAAAATATTAGCAACTCAACCTAGCAACATATAAAAAGTATCCACACCAGAAAGGATTGATCACAGAAATGCAAGGTTGGTATAATTATCAAAATCAGTGTAACAGATCCTAATAATGAAATAAAAGTTACAAAACCTCAGATGTTCACTTCAAAAGACAAAGGAAAAGCATTTGAAAAAAATTCAAATCTCTATGAAAAAAACCCACCACAGAAGCTAGAAATACACTGAATAAACAAGTTCAGTAATGGTATAGTTCAATCAATATACAAATATCAGTTGTAGGTCCACGTACTCTAAGTGAAAAATCTGAAAGTGGAACTAAGAAAGTAATTTCATTAAAATACTATTAGAAAAAGCAAAATATTTAAGAATTTTAATAAAAGTAGTGTAATACTTGTACTGTACACTGAAAATTAAAATAATGATGAAAGACGATCCAACTAAATGAAGAGACCTCTCATGTTCATTGATTAGAAGACTTAATATTGCTAAAATTGCAATATTCCCCAAATTATTCAAATTCGACACAATTTCTTCCATCAGGGAAATGCAAACCCAAACTAATGCATATGGAATGGGAGGGCTATATGGATGATTAATAAAAAGTTCAGTAACAACTGTTGAGGAAGATGTGAAAAAATGTGTATTATCATTTCACACACTGTTAATGGGAATGTAAAATAGTACAACCACAGTGAAAACATTTTGGCAGATCCTAAATAAGTTAAACATATATTTACCATATGACCCATCAATTTCACTCCTACATATATAACTCAGAAGAACTGAAAATGTATGTTCACATAAATATATTCATAACATCCAAAAACTAGAAATATCTCAAATACTGGCCAAATGATGAACAGATAAACCAAAATGTTTTCTATATTCAACAGAACATAACAATGCAAAGTAATGAAATACTTATAACACAAATGAACCTTAAAAAATACTGTGCTAAATAAAACAAGCCAGAAACAAAGGCCCAAATGTACAGTATCCCACTTACAGAAAATGCCCAGAATAGACAAATAAATAAATAAAGCAAACTAATGGTTTCTAAGTGCTAGGTTTGGGAAAGATGTGAACATTTTGGTGAAAGGGTGAAAGAGAATATATTCCGGGGATCTATTGTGCTTATAGTAAATATAGTTAGTAGTGATGTATTGCATAATGGAAATTTGTTAAGAAAGTAGATTTGAAATGTTCTCATGATAAAAAATGATAAGAAAACCTATGTGGTACTGCGTGTACTAATTTAATTATTCATATAAGCATTAATACATGTATTTTTGTATGGATACCCATATAAACATGCATATATTAATATATGTTCATATACATACTGATATCCATCTACATATATTTATCTCTCAATTTTAAAAATTATTTTTAAAAATGTTCTCTGAGTGCATATCCAAAGGAGATGAATCATTACACTAAAAGGCTACTGCACTCTCACGTTTATTGCAGCATAATTCACAATAGCTAAATCTCAGATTCTATTCACTGGATAAACAGATAAAGAAAATTTGTATATATACATCATAGAATGTTATTTAGGGGCAAAAGAATAAAATCTTACCATTTGTAGTAGCATAAATTAAACTGGAAGTTATAATGGTACATAAAATAAGTTAGGTACAGACAAATATCACATTATCACTCATTTGTAGAAACTATTCTGTCTTACAGAAAGGCAGAATGGTAATAGAGACTAGGAAAGGTATAAGAAGGAGAAGACTGAATGAAGTTCATAAGGGGACATCAAAACACAAAGTGGAAAAATTATTTGTGGTTCTTTAGTGTAGTACATTAGGGGACCTACTGATTGAACAATCTATGATATATTTCAAAATCAACAGAAGGGTATAAAATGCTCAACATATAAAAATAATTATTGTTGAAGGGCTGGGAATTTAGCTCAGTGGCAAAAGTACCTGCCTGGCAAGCACGAAGTCATGAGTTCATTCCTTGGTACCAAAAAAATAAAAAATAAAAATAAAATAAATAAATAAATAAAATACTGTTTGAGGAGATGAAAATTCTTATTATTGTTGATTTGATTGTTACACACTGTATACATGTATTGAACTACTCCAGTAATTTATCCAATTAAAGATGTGCAATATGAAGTATGATTAAAAAATCTATAGTGACCATTTGCATTTTTTAAAAAAGTTATTATAGTAAAAAATACATGGTCATTAACTTCCCCAAAATATTCTCATATACTCTAAACTTAGTATTCACATTATTCTTGCAATTTTCTGAGGAAGTTCTGGATGTCTTTTTTTTATGAGTGCCTTTAGCTGTGCTATGTAGCCACCTGAATGTTTTAGGTTGAGTTAAAAAATTTACTTTCATGATCATTTTGATTTTGAGGAATAAGTAGAAATCACACAATTAGAGAGCCAGTCAGATGCATAAGAACACACCTTAATGTTTTCACAAGCCTGCTTTTCTATTGGATGGCAGTTAACAGAAGCATTCATCATACTTTGGACCACGCCTCATAAAGATACGCCTCATAAAGAAAGTGGTTTTTCAGAAACTAACAAGAGCAATAGGAAAACTGTGCTTGAAGACAGAGGAGTGTATTTTTAGGGGGATCATTGGCAATGTGTCTTTAACTGCAATAAATTTTTAAAATATAACCATTCATCATGTATTTGGATCACAGCTCATATACAATAAATAAAACATACAGTTTATACAAGCAAAATGTGGTACTACTATGTTGGAAGATTCACTAAAGATTTAATATAAAATGTTTATATTACAAAATAAAAATAAAATTCTGTGTAAATACATAGTAGTGATAATTGTGCGATTTTTTTTTTTTTTGGTACTGGGGATCAAACTCACAACATTGCAGCTGCCAGGCAGGCATTACATTGCTAAGCTAAATCCCGGGCCCCTAATTGTGCAATCTTAAAAATACAATAAAACAAAAAATACACTAAAACGCAAAAACCATTTTCAAAAATGATTACTTTTATGACATATGATGTTTCTATGAAAAATATATATATTTATAAAGTGAATTAGTCTAGATTAAGTGACATTTCCTTTTAAGTGGTCTTTATACATCACATATTCCTC